GTAAATGTAAGAGAGTTTGATAGTAAACGTAAGAGAGTTTGATAGTAAATGTGAGAGAGTTTGATAGTAAATGTGAGAGAGTTTGATAGTAAATGTGAGAGAGTTTGATAGTAAATGTGAGAGAGTTTGATAGTAAATGTAAGAGAGTTTGATAGTAAATGTAAGAGAGTTTGATAGTAAATGTAAGAGAGTTTCATAGTAAATGTGAGAGGGTTTGATAGTACATGTGAGAGCAAGTTTGAATTATGGCCTAAAGGACCTATTCATAAATTAGACATAACTTGTCATACATTTAAAATCTTCTATTGCAGAACAACTGACTTTGTAACAATGGCAAGTTCTGCCCCACAGACCCTACGTTTGACTCATCAATCATTCGTGATTCAGATACACTGTATTTTTCTGGACCGTATTAATTTTGGATTTATCTTCTGATTTATTTCCTTGCAGGAGCAGAGAGGAGGATGAACTGGGTTTTTTTGGAGAGCATTCTCAGCGGGGTGAACAAGTACTCCACTGTGATCGGACGCATCTGGCTGACTGTGGTCTTCGTGTTCAGGATCCTGGTGTACGTCGCTGCCGCCGAGCAGGTGTGGAAGGACGAGCAGAAGGACTTTGTCTGCAACACGGAGCAACCCGGCTGCGAAAACGCCTGCTTTGACTTCTTCTTCCCCATCTCGCAGGTGCGCCTCTGGGCCCTGCAGCTGATCGTGGTGTCCACGCCCTCCCTGCTGGTGGCCTTGCATGTGGCCTACAGGGAGCACCGCGAGGCCAGATATAAACGCAAACTCTACGAGGACAAGGGGAGCATCGATGGGGGTCTTTTCTACACCTACACCATCAGCCTGGTCTTTAAAACCGCCTTTGAAATCGGTTCCCTGTTGGCTTTTTACTTTCTGTACAACGGCTTTGACGTGCCCATCCTGCTGAAGTGCAGCCAGAGCCCCTGCCCCAACACGGTGGACTGTTACATCGCCCGAGCCACGGAGAAGAAGATCTTCCTCTACATCATGGGCTGCACCTCCATTCTTTGCATCTGTCTGAACTTTGTGGAGTTCTTGTACATCATGTGGAAGTGGGTGTGTAAATGCTTCAGCAGGTACTACGTTCCTGTAGAGAAGCCGTACAGCCGCTGCCAGTCAAAAGTCCTCATTGATAACAGATTCGCTTCAACTGAGTCGGCATCAAACACAAAGCTCTCCTGCTCAGATCCAGCCCCTGCGGGTGGAAAACCTGCCAGTCCGGTCCTGGAGGGCCAGGTCCAATCAGAAGCTACCAACTCAAAATGAAACCAGTAGATGTTTGCATTAAGATCTGTCTGATATGATGTTTAACTGCTTTGTAAAAAATAAGAAACATCCAAATCACCCTTTTTCTCACTTTACCTCCAGCTCAGGTTCTCTAGAAGATTTGAAGGTTCTGTTTAGTGTCGTTCCTAGGACCGGACTTTTCAATAAAGAGATATGAAGTTATTTCTGGGACTTGTTGGACTCATGCTTGCAGTTTTGGGGGTCAGAGCATATGCTTCTTTCTCTGATGTTACAGTGGGTTGAAATGACTAAAACTGTCATTGAGCTTCTGTAGTTTGTCCACCAGCTCAATGCTCGGTTGGTTAGCCATCACCTCTCTGGGTCTGGAGGTCCTCCAACATTCTCCATCACCCGAAGTGGAGTTTACTACTTTGACTTGTGGGACTTCCAGTTCACACTCAGCACAGATGTTCATATACTGTATATTATTTTAGTCACTTCACTTAGAGCTTACATCCTGCAATGTGCTGGACTGTTTCAGAGGCATCTTTACACGACCTGCATCTTGGGTCCTGCTTAGTGTGGTAGACCCAGTGGCGGATCTAGGATTTTTCTGAGTAACGGGCCATCAAGGGGCCACAATACTCATAGAGGGGCCAAGTATTTGTTCAGCATTCTTGCACACAAATAGCTGGTTTTGGTATGGTATCATATATTATATGTATTTAACCAGTCACATGCTTAAACACTTGTAATTTTAAAACAGTTTGCATTAAATTATCCTTACCAATTTTACACGTATTTTACAGTACATAGATAAAATACTCTCAAACACACAGCATATGAGAGAATCCAGCCATCTTTTGTGAGTTGAGACTTTTTCTGCAGGATTGTTCAAATTTTAAGAAAATTAAAAAAAATCTGTCAGCTTGATTCATGCGGGATGTTTAACTTTGGCTCATTGGCGCCTCTAGTGTTTAGCCATGGAACTGCACTCAGCATCATCACTCTTGGACAAAGGACAGATGAGTGACAAGACAGGGGCACTTCAGGGGGTCAATCAAATTTCACCAGTGGCCAATGCTTCTGTGGCCCCGCCCCTAGAACCGCCCCTGGGTGGACCCCAAGCTTTATTGTATGTGCTACCATGATTAGTCCCTCTGTTCTGTCCTGCAGTCCAGTTCTCTCTACCCATTGGTGGGATTTGTTGGTATGTCACTTCCTCAATTCTCTGGTGAAACACGCTGTGCAGATGCGTATCTTTTCATTATGGTTCCTCTTGTTGGTTCCTCTTCATGGACAAAGGCAAATACTGTTTACTGTAAATAAACTTATATATAGACTTCATATTTTTCTCATGTTAATTTTCCMATCTGATATCCTCTTTATTTATGTAAAGCCCTTTTCATGCTAGAGTCAACAACAATGATGTTCCTCTCACACATTTATCATCACAGCTTGATATTATTCATTATTATGGTCTGCAAATTCAAGTTTTCTCAACCAAAAATACTAAATCCTTAAACACGCCTGACGCCTGAGTGTGTACCAGAGAAAACAGTAAATCAAATAAAAAGGATTCTATAAGCGGATGATCAGAGCTCTTTGTAATGGAGAACAATAATCTTAAAACAAACAATTTACATGTATTGTTATTACTGTTATGTACTGCTTGTATTTTTTGTCAGTAAAAGGTGCTAAATAAATAAAAAAAAATTCACTAACCTAATCTGTAAATGTACTTTTTTTTTTTTCAAACAAATTATTGTGGCTTCATTATTTAAGTTTTGTCACTATGATGTCTATTGACAAATCAGATTTAAGTGTTAATATAAGGCCCTTAATGACAAAGACATATTCTCAGATCCTACAAATGTGTCTTTTTTTATCTGTTGTGTGAATTTTTTCAAGTGCTGGTCTGGTTTAAAATAATAAAGCAGCAGTCTGGGTCGCCTGATCTTTAGAAAAAAGGTATTGTGGTGAAACGCCGTGAAGGCAGCGTGCGTGATGACGTCTTACGTAGCGGTCACGTGACTTTCCAAACAGAAACAAACATGGCGCCGCGAAAGTGACGGAAATACATTAATGCTTGTTTTAAAGCTGAATTATTTTAGTTAGTAAATGCTTCCGGAAGCTTTCAGGTAAATAATCAAGAAAAATCTTATGTGTTCTTTCAGTTAGTTGTTATTTAATTGGAAAAAAGCGAAACCGCTAACTTTATGATGTTTTAGTGTTTCAGTTTGTTTGACGGGCTGTTTTAATTAAAATTTAGGTCATAGATGGTGTTTTATTGTGGAAGAAGTTTTAAAAAATAATAATTTGTTACAGGTTTTTTTAGTCATTTTCGGCGTATCCTGTCAAAGAGGAAGAATAACGTTTTCATCAGGTGAATGAAACTGAAGAAAATCCACTTTAATCTGATTCAAACAATCACTGCTCCGGATATAAACCAGTGTACTTGTTTATACGTTGAGAATGCAAAAGAAAAAGCTTTTTAATGTAACTTTAACATAAGTTAAATAAGGTAGAAAAAAACATGATTTCTGGAGAGGTTAACTTATTGTTTTATTGTTGTTATTATTTTACAGTTACTCAAAGCACCAACCAGAATGTCTGTGAGGAAACAGACTAAGCACATCTCCTCTGACAGCCAGCAGATGGATGAAAACACGCAGGACGATGACTCTGCCACTGACAGAGACACCGGGGTATTTTCAGGAATTAAATGTTTGTTAGAAAAAAACTTAAATGTGACAGATGCACGTTTAAACTTCCATCCAGGCTGGAAGTATTCAGAGCTCCCCTGTTACAGATACAATGTAAACATATTTGATGGTCCAGCTGAATTAAACGTATTGTTTGATATGATTCTTGTTTCAGGACGAGTTTTCATCTTTACTTCTTTCAGCACCATCAACGAGAGAAAAACGCAGGAGGGAGCGGGAAAACAAAGTCAAACTCAAAGGTCTGTCTGTTTTCTGACAAACACTGCTTTACATTATTCTAAGGATGTTTAACTCATTTAAATGACCCACCTGGTGCTTAACTGCTTAATTTAGCAGCTTCCATTAGACCTAATAAAATACATTTGTCATTTTTCAATATGTCTGAACTGCTGTCGTCATATTAACAAACAGAAATAAACACTGATCAGTCATACATGTGGTACACTCCAGTACCAGCTTAGGCTGCTAAACAAGACAAATAATGTTTCACYGGTTAAATCAGAGGCTTTRTGACTTTCAGCTGTTAATTCAGAAATGACAGAAGAGGAGATGATGGACCTGGCTCTGCGTCTGAGCGAGCGGGAGGCCAGCGTCTCTGCGCTCCAGCAGCAGCGGGAGGAGGAGGCTGTGATGAAAGCCATCCAGGAGAGTGTGAGTACTCGAACACAACCTCCCAGCAAACGTTTAAAGTAGAAATCCTGTCAGAAGGATTCGTTCTGTGAGGGGTTCAGTCTCTGAAGTTTCCCAAATCAAACTGAAACAGAAAGTCTGTTAGACCCTGGAACTCTCTGGACACAAACTGGTCACAAACCTGAATCTAAAGTGTTCAAATAGAGAATTCAGGTGCTCTGCAGATTACATCATGTGGACAAATGGATTAAACATTTAAGGTTCCTCTCAAGCTGGAAATCAGAACAACTCGGACCAAGAAATACAAATCTGGACTCTGTTTTACAATAAACAAATACATTTAGCAGGAAAAGAGAGCATCAGTTTAAAGGTTTATTCACTGGAACTTTTCTGTATTTTCTGTTCTGTAGATGGTCAGTGAGACCCAACCGTGTCTAAGCTCCCCGGGGAAAACTCTGCTGGCCAATGCCTCCCTCAGGCTGGGTTCTCGACGGAAGCTCCTCTACACAAACGGGGTGAGCAGCGCGTCCACCGCCGATCAGGGACGACCCGAGGCCTGCAGCGCCACACAGCTCGACCTGAAATCAGGTGAGTCGATCAGGCAGCAACCTGTAGGGATTTAAGTCTGATAATCAGATTCCACATTAGGAAATATATTTATTTATTTATTTATTTATTTACTTACTTACTTACTTACTTACTTACTTACTTACT